CGGCCCCGCAGGCGCCGGGAAAGGCAGAACGCGGCGGTGGCAGCGAGAACAATAAACAGGCGCCGAGCGGCCCCCGGACCCTCCGGCGACGTCAGCGCCCGCCCCCTCACGCCGCCCCGCCTCCGACCCGGAAATGCTGAGGCGCGGGGCGGAGCCTCGACCCCCGCCCCGCGGGGCTGAGGGCGACGCCGGCTGCTCGGGGGTTTCGGGCAGCTAGCGTCTCCGAATCCAGAATCGGTGAGGCTGGGAAAGATCTCTGGGATCATCGAGTCCCACCTATGACCAAAGAGCACCATGTCAACTAGACCGGGGCACTGGGTGGCATGTCCAGTCTTTTCTTACCAGGGACGGTGACTCCACCACCTCCCTTGGCAGCCCATCCCAGTGTCTAAGCACCCTTTCCGCGAAAAAGTTCCAACTAATCTCCAACCTAAATCTCCCCTAGCACAGCTTGAGACTATGTCCTGGCATACTGTCTCTGGGTGCCTGGGAGAAGCAGCCGACCCTCACCTGACTATAACCTCCTTTGAGGGAATTGTAAAGAGTGATAAGGTCACCCCTGAGCCTCTTTTTGTCCAGGCTAAACCCCAGCTCCCTCAGCTGCCCCTCACAGGATTGGTACTCCAGACTCGTTGCCCTTCCTTGGACCAGCTCCAGCACCTCAATGTTCTTCCTAAACTGAAGGGCCCAAAGCATAAACCCTCTGAGAATAGCCAGCAATGGGCTGTTTGGTACGAATTTATCTTCATCTCATGAGTTCTGGCCTGTAAGGGTTTTCCCTTTCTGTTTCTGTCTTTCCTCACTGAACTCAAAGCAATGAGCCAGAAGAGTAACCTAAATTCTCAGCTGGACTTTTACTTAGAGTTCACATGGGAGTGGTGAGCTGGAAGAGGATTCAAGGTCTTCTGTAGTCTAAGATGCTTTATGAACTGTCCGGTGTACCTTGACCTTTGGACCTGGAGCAGTCTGGCTCATGTATCACATCCACACTGATGCTACATCAGATGCCTGGCAAGGGTAAATGTGGCAGGACACTGCAGTCAGATCATACTGATGATGTTTTGGGATTCCCTTCAGCTCAGCTGTTTGTTGACCGTGGGCTGGGGGGATTGTTCAAGAGCCATTGGCACATTCTTCATATAAATTCACATTTTACTCCCATTCTGTCTGCCTGGTAGAATGGGAGTGAAAGATGTCTGTCTTTTAACTTTACAGAGAGGTTTTTATTTGTGATCAGCAGCTTGGACAGCATTGACCTACAAGGTTTCTAACAGGTGTGCATCCAACTTAATTGTAAAGACCTTCAATAAAGCTGATTGTGCCAAATCCTGTCATCATATTTCATGACCTGAAACCCAAAATGAAGCTTTCTCTAAAAAAAAGATTCCTATCTACTGTGGATATATAAACCCAACCCCTCGTCTCCCACAACACTATAAAGTGGAAGGAGCTCCTTTATATACTATAAACATATCTACCTTTTCCACATGAAAAAATCACATTTTCAATGACTACTTGTTAGATGTTTGCTTCCTGTTTTTTATTTTTTTCTCCTTTGTACTTCTCCTATTTTCTCAATACTATTTATTAAGTATAGAGCCCAAAACAGCCATTCTCACATGTCTCTAACCAGGCTCATCACCTCAAAACTGGCAAATGAGTATTTCCAGTCTTGCCCCTCTCTGAACATTTTTTTTTTTTTTACCAACAACATCTCATGTTCTTTCCATACATTTGGTATCTCCTTATTGGCAGTGTTTTCCCGCTTGCTAAATTTCAATAATTTTGATCATGGCCACTCAGTTTAGCAAAAATATTTGATTTTTTCTCTTTTCATATTATCTCTGACATTTTGTTAGCCAGGCTGTTCATGACAATATTGAATGGGTCTTTCATGGACAGGACAGAACATTGAAGAGTGGCATGTGAAACTTTCTCCTAGTTTAAAAACCCTCTCCACACTGTAAAGAGATATTTCTCTATTATTTTATTTGCAAGTAGTTTCAATATACATTTTTGACAGTTCCTAGCTAGAATGAGTTTTCTCAGAGAAGCAGTTTTTTGCCTTGCATCCTATGTAAGTTAGGCTTCTGTTTCACATATCCCTGTGTGTCTCTGTTTCCTGCCCTAATAACGATCATGAAATCTGGCATCTTGGATGGAGCAGGGTACCTTAGCTGAAGGAAAGGCTGCAGCTGGGGTCAGCTGTCAAACCCAATCAAGAATTTACACTAAAACTAGTCTTCTCAAATTCTCCCTCCGCAGCTAAGCCCTTCAGCTGGCATTCATGCTGTTGGCATGGGTTTGTGTGACCTCAGCCACTAGAGATAAAGCTGTAGGAGATCAGGCTGTAAGCAGATAAGATCTCATCCAGTATGAGTAAAGGTTGCTGCTGCTGGGGATGGGGCAGCTCTGCTCCTCCTAATCTGCTGTGGACCCTCCCTTATTCTGGCACGGTCAGGGTCATCTGCTGAATAGCAATTGCTAAGCTTTCATTTTTTCTTACTAGTTTTCAGGCAATATCATCCTGGGTCCCACAGCCACACCAACAAACTCAAATAACCTCACCAGTTGTATTCCACTGCTGTCCATCTATCCTCACTGGTCCTAAAGGGTCCTGTGATGGTGAAAGCTAAAGCCCACACTGTGAGATCAGTCATGTGGACAGGTCTCAACTCTCAGGATGAGATTTCTCCTTTAGCTGCCTCTCCTGTGTCTGGCAGGATGAAGGAGAACTGTATAGGCTTTTGTGTCCTTCGCCCTTTCTTCAAAGCCCTTTTGTTGTTCACGACGTACTCCAAGTCTCCATTTGTACTGTTAGGGATTCCTACATGACTGAGCCACAAAGGGTATTACTCTGAGGGTTGGTCAAGCATTGACAATCTGTCCTCAACATCTTGGGGTCATAAGTTTCAAGTGTGTTTGATGGTGATAGACTTTTTAATAGGGACTCTAGCAATAGGATGAGGGGTAATGGTTTTAAACTAAGAGGAGGGAGATTTAGAGTAGCTATGTTGAATAATTTTTTTTTAATGTGAGATTGGTGAAGCACTGAAAAAGGTTTCTTAGAGAGGTGGTACATATCCCATCCCTGGAAACATTCAAGATCAGGTTGAACAGGGCTCTGAGCAACTGGATCAAGTTGAAGATGCCCCTGCTTGTTGCAGGGAGTTTGGACTCAATGGCTTTTAAAGCTTTCCAACCCAAACAATTTTATGATTGTATGAGAGCTTGATTGTATGATTCTGTTTATATCACTGATGGGATTTGGTCTCTTAGTTCCCAAATTATGTGATCTTCAAGACTTCCAGACAGGCCAAGTTAGCCTGATGTGATTGGATGAGATCTGGTAAGAAAAGGGAATTCCCTTACACAGAACTGAGATTTGCTGATGGAGAGAAAATACAGACAGTGCAGAATCCCCAGTGAAATGGAAGGTGCCTTTAACATCACGGCTGTGCTGTCTGACAGCCAACAGGTGGGTCTGACAGTTCAGAGGGAAGGCAGCCCTACCTGTTTGTGCTTTGGAAACCTGGTGAGCCAGGCAGTAACCACCTTGCAGGTGACTCACGTAGTGGGGCAAGGCCCCACAGACTCCCTCGGTGGTTGCTCAGCTTGGGCCAACATCTGCAGATGTTGGAGAGATAGCCAGGCCTCTGCTGGTTAGCCAGTCAGCCAGGCTGCTCTGTGGGGTATTTCAGTCATTTGGGATGGGTAGGGATAATTATTGAATCAGTGTTTGGTAGAGGCTTGCAAGGATAATATGCAAGAATTTGTTGCTTATGCTATCCAATGGTAAGTACAAGTTAATTTGCTGCTGGAGGAGAGACTCTTTTCCTAACTTATTGTTATCAGCTGATCTACAAATCTGAGATGCCTCCAACTAGAGATTAATGCAAAATTGATTTTCCTCTAAGATATGTGTACCATATATCATGCTAAGTACTAATAAGAGACATGCAAATATCTACTGTAATCCTTTTCATTTTTTTACTTCTCACCTGCTAAATTTACCTTTTCCAGAGGAATGAGTATCTTCTTTTTTTAAGCATTAATTCTTTGAAAGAAGGGTACCATGTAGTCAGACTCACTCATTAAAAAACCACAAAAAATTAGCCAGTTGATGTAAAAGAAGCATTGGTAATTTAGGATTGAAGAATTGCAGAGGATTGTTTTTCTTTACTTTTTTTTTCTGCTTTTTTGTTCTGTTTTTTGGTTTTTGTTTTTTTCTTAATGTTATCATGACTCTTTATCTGTTAATGATTTTACATCGCATAATGAAATATTTTGCTATGATGACTGTGTCAGGATTGTATTCTGGCAAATTTGTGAAAGTTTCTGGATACACTTTGGAAAATTATAACTTACTGCTTTTTCTATGTCATTCAGGTTTTTTCCTGAATTTTCCATTTATCAAACTCACTTGGAGTTTATAGAAAAACCTTAGTCTTTGCAGGAACCTTACCAATAAAAATGCTATTTAGGAAAAAGTCTTGGAGTCATCCAAAGCTCAACACACTCTCTAGAGCAAAGCATTAGACTGGATTTTTTCAATGGAAATTAAAACACAAAAGCAGAACTCTGGCATAATATTTGAATACAACCACTTTAATTATATTTTCTACAGTAGTATCATTTAACTGTTAGAAGTAAATCTCTACCTACACTTCAGTCTAGCTTAAAATTTTTAAATCATTCAGTTGTATGGTTAAATTTTCTATACAGATGCTCAGTAGGAAATGTTATTTTCTGGTGCCTGTCATTAATTTGTCTGCACGTGCTTCTTCTGAACATTAAGTATATACTATAATTTTTGTTATTTGTGAATTTTAAGATTAGATCTGTATTATACTTAAGAAATAAGGTAATATACAGCATATTTTATTTATTATAAGTGTTGAGAATGGGACATCACTTCATATGGAAAAAAAATATAGACAGCAGATCCTGCAAGAACACAGTCAAATATATCTAAATATCAATGAGGACCTGCCTTTGTAAAGAGAATTTCTAAATATGTGTTAAGCCTATAAAGGTGAACTGGAGACAACTTCTGAGTCAAGTAGGTGAAAAAATCTATGTCTGTGAGTGATGTGTGTTTTGGGCTTTGCAGGTCATAGACCAGGCAGCTTTGGCTGAGATTTCAGCTAATGGTTGGATATGTGAGCAGTTTATATTGTTACTTTTGTCCTGGTGAAAAAGGAGATTTGGAAATTAGTTTCCTTTTTTAAAACATTCCTTTACAATAGTGTAGTATTTAACTAACAGCTTAAATTAAATGCTCTTGGTAAACATTAAAAATAAGACGCCACATTTCTCCAGTCACTGTAATTATAGAATGTTTTATTACAGTTCAATTACATTGATAAGTAATTTTTGAAAGTGCAAATAGCATTTTCTGTTTTCAAAATATAATCTTGAGACTACATTTTTAAGGCAGTGCAACAAAACGTATAGTTCTAGAGTTTCCAGCTATATTCGTATTTTAGGTTCTTGCTTCCCTGGAAATATTTGCATGGTGTCTGCTTTATCCCTGTTTGTTTACTTATGGCCTTTGCCACTGTTATAATTTCACCCTGTTTTTCCTTGCAAATAACCTTGTTTTTCACTGCCTTGACGTAATAATAAACAGTTTGATAAGACAGAGTGTGATGAATTTTAATATACTTTTCCCATAAAAAACAGGGAAAACAGTAGGATCCTTGAAATGACCTTGAAATGCCAAAAAAACCAATTGGAAAGATATGTTGATTTTTAAAAATTATTATTATTCTCAGGAGCATTAGAAAATATGTGCTTGTGTAACAAGATTAACAAAAGCATGGAGTAGTAGTGCTAAACAATGTCAGAGATCCATGCAAAAGCCTACTTAAACTGACATCAAGGTAAATTTTCAGTAGTTTTTTACTTTAGAGACAGTTTTTTTCTTAACTCTTTTTAGATGTCTTTTAAAAGTTGTTCTGGCAATGCTTTCAGAAAGAGAAAGTGGAAGCTAAAGTTGCCACACAGTCTCACAGTAGTGAAAATAATCGTGAAGACTTCCTGTTTACTCACAGCTGGAAGTGAGACAACTTTAAGGAAACTGGTTTGCTTGAAAAGGAATAGGAGTAGGCAAGCTTGGTCACATTTTTTTTCTAGTCAGATGTATTTAATGGTTAAAAATAACATTTTAAATTTCTTTTCTTCTTCTATTCTTGTAATAATGATTTTTTTTTTTCTGTTTCCTACACCCTTATTGATGTTTTTTTTGATGGCTGTAGAAAGTATGGAACTAAGACTCTGGAAGTCAGCAGAGTTCCTAAAGGATCTGAGTTGAGGATATCTTAGGGACAGTGTTGCAGAAATGATCTTTTTCCACCAAGATATTAGCAGATAACCTACCCTACATTTTTGTCTAAAAGGTGTAATAGCAATTTCTGGTAGTTCTAACAAACCTCTGTATCTAAACCATATCTAAAATTATGTTAAAAGCTTTAAGATTCTATTGAAATGACTTAAAATTTAACAAAAGAAAATAGCATGCATTCCACTGAATACGTTTCATTATAAATATTTTTAATCAGAAGATGTTTTGCTTTAAAAATACATGTGTAGGCTCCTTTGATATTCAGCCGTTGTTGATGTAGGGGACAGCACGTGCTTCTGCATGTATTTTCCTTCATTTGATTGAGTGCTTTTCAAAACTCCAGCCATCTTCAGGTTGTTTCAGCACAATTTCCCTCACTTGTCTTCAGGTTGTGAAGGTCACACCAAAGCCATTATTGCCCACATGAGCTGTGCCATTGTAGCCTTTCATTGTATGCTAGGGAGTCTTTAATTCCACAGATCAGAAGGTGGGTGAGTATTAATTATTTTCTCATAATTAAGATGCCTCTATCCATTCATACTCTGAGAAAGGTAAACAGTACCTCCTAGAATGGAAAAAACACCCAAGAGAATGAGTTGCAATGGAGCATACCCCCCCCGCCCCCCCAGACATTAGCTTCCATTCATTTTAGATGTCAAATGGGTATAGGTGTTCATTCCTACATGTTTATTGAAAACACCTTGTTGCTATGGTCATGAGATATGAAGTAGTACAAAATTTTGTGTGTCAAGTATTCTGTTTTATGTTTCATGGCAAAAATTACAGCAGAAAAGTAATTTTACTGGCTTCAAGGCCCAGCTCATTTTAATCAGATTTCTCTTTGGCAGAAAGTCTCTTTTATAGTACTATACTTTTCCACGTTTAAAGGGGGATTTTTCAATTCGTTATTTCCAGTTCACAATGAAAAGAAGGATTGTAGCATATCTTTGCTTAAGGAAGCTCTTGTCTGTTACAACTTAAACTCAGATTATATCAATAACCACTGTAATTCCATCTTTTTTAAGAAGTGAAGCTTGTTTACTTATCGCAACCTTTATGTCATCATAATTACTTAGCATTGAAATGGTTGCTGTTTGTGGCACTTCCAAGCCCTCATCACCATAAAGCTTGTCCTATGGCATGTTGACAGTCCTTTAAAGCCTGTCCCTATTTACCTTTATTTTTTTCCTGCTATGTGTCTAGATCCTATTTTCTTAATTTTCTTCTGAATTATTTTAATTTATGTTCTGTAGTCAAAAATTACATGAAAATTGACAAAATGACTTTCTGGGTAACAATTGCAGTCTTAGTATTTTCTTCCCATGTTTTCAAAAGGTAAGATGATCAGTCTTTTAAAGAAGTTCTTGGTGCTGTAGGAAAGAAACGTACAATGTATAGTACTTTAGGAGGTTCAAGCGCAGAGTAGTCTACATATTAGGAAAAGTAATCTAGTGTTTCAGAAATACACCCCAAACTTCCTCCTTTTAGGAAATCAGCCATTTAACAACTGGCTAAGGCCATAAGACAATGGTGTCAGCATGCTACCTTATGTCCTGTCGGGATTGGGAGCCTACTCCTAGTACTCCTTGTGGTGGTTTTCTTTGACAGAAACAATAAGGGCATACAAGAAAGAGACTAAATTAATTTTTCAATGAGCAGCAGTTCTGTGGAAATTTTCCATAGTTGTTCTTGCCATGCACATGAACCCAGATGCATGAAGGGGAAAAGCAGAGCTGTCCCTGACAAAAAGAGCAGCTATGAGCATACTTGATAAATTCTTTCAGCAGTAGCAGTCAGGCCATGGCCATCCTCTCATCCTCTCTCATGTGTGTGCTCTGTGTAACACAGAGTTAATTGGTCTATATCTACTCAGTAAATGGGGTGCTGCCATGTTGCATCAGACTTGCCATGCTGAAAGGATGCAATAAAATTCTGCCATGTCTTGGGAATGCAACCTCTCCAGAACGGTATGGCAGCACTTATCAAATTTGTGTGTCTTAGACAAAGTAGAAATCAAAATATTAATATCCTGATGACTCAAACCAAGGTATTAAAGCTGTTGCCTCAAATGAATGCAATGAAAATGTATAGGTCCTCTTGTGTAATGTCAAGTGAAGCAGAGAAAATGCATAGAAAAGCTTAGGACAATTATAGTATTTATGGTAAATGTAAATGGAGAAAGTGATGCAATGCTCAGTTTAAGTAGTGTAATGTCACGTATAAAATAAAAACAACTCTTTTGGAAAAAAATATGTTGATTACACTAGACATTGAAAGGAAGAAGAGAAGAAAAAGGAAAGATAACTACATATCAATTATACAAATGGGCCAGTTTCCAAAACAAAGGGGCAATACAGAGAATCACAGTCATATTACCATTTCCCAATGTCGTGGTTTTAAATCAGTAACTCAAAAAAATTACTTATTTCTTGTAATAACTCCCATCAGCCACCAGCAGCTTCAACTTCCTCTCCCTCCAAGCTGTTTTAAAGGTAAAGCTACCCCATGACACCCAGTATAAATGATTCCCTAATTTGTCTGAATTAAGCCTGCTTCTTGTTCCACTTTTATTGGGAAAAAATGTAATTGGGATATTTTTGAACATTAAATGGATGGCTTACTGAATATTCCATTCATTCTGTGGCTCCTTCTTTCAGGTTTCATCTTAATAAGTTGATTTTTCAGTCAGTAATTTGCATTTAAATTATGAAAAAATAATGAAGATTTTATGTGCATGTACTTTCTTAGATGAAAACTTTGCTATAATAATAATGGGAAATATTTATTTTATGTAAGTCAGTTTGGAACATGGATTTGTCCCTTTGTTTGGAATAGTTCAGTAGTTCAGCTTTACAAGTGCTAAGTTTGTGACTGTCTCTTAAAACAGGTGAACATTTTATCCTACACCTCAGACAAAGTTCAAATAGGTTTAAATACCAGACTTGCAGTAAGCAGATATTTGTCCATATGTTCTGAGGTAAATTCTGTACATTTTTGTATAAATAAGTTGGGCTCTACCTTTTCTGCAAGAGAGAATCATGTGTTTTACTGATACTTAGTGATGTGTGTGATCTAGCTGACTTTTAGAGAAAAATAGACTTGAAGTGGCAAACTTCAGGTTTGTACAAATGGTACAATTACAACTTCAAGTTGTACAAATGGTAAAAATGAGTACTTTGCTGAGCCTTATTTTAAAATACCCGCAGCTTCTCTGGGCAACCTGATTTCCATTTATATAAAAATATATAAATGGAAAATGTATGTATAAATATATATAATTTATATATAAATTTATAAATGGAACTGCTTGCAATAAAGGATCCATGACATAACCTTTTCATGTTTATTATCTTTATTTATGGGAAAATCTTTCCTTCTGTCAGAAAAGAATATATATTTTTATCCCAGTTTTGAAAATACCCAGTTTTCTCTATTTACATTCATCCTGAATCTAATTTTCAAACTATTTAACAGCAGGTACTTTCAGTACTTTTTGCAATATGTGATATTTGTACAGTACCTTTTTGCAAACTGCTGCCTCTTTGTGGAGGAAATAGTAGGTACTGGAATAAAGGTAAACTTAGCATCACAGAGAGTGCATTGCAGAGATCAAGGTGAACATTGTGAATTAAATGCATTAAAAAGTAACCGAGGAGCACCAGACCAAGGACTTCAGATTTCAGTTACAGGTGATAGCTCAGAGTGTATTTAGTGTGTCTTGAACTTAGACTACTGGCTAAGTATCTAAATCTGCCAAAGTAAATCAGGTAAGCCCCTGGCAAATTTCCCCAGATGCTGAAGCAAGACCAGATTTTAGACTTGAGTACAGCTGTTTAAATTCTTACCCAAACAATAATGGTCTCTACACTTGACTTTGACTAGGGATCCATTGCTGACAAGAAGGAGGTACAAGGGCAATTATAATCCCTCATTAGAGAAGGCTAACTTGTGGAAGCACTGGATGAAAGGGGGAGTGAGCTCTTTAGAGCCCTTCTCTAGTGGTGGAACAAGGTCAGTGAGAGCTTCTCAGTCCTTTTTCCTCAAGACAGAACTGTGGAAAGGAAATGGAAGCTTGGTAAAATACTTTTTGTTATGAGTGAGAAATGAAAAATAGGGAAGTAAGGAGACTGTAAGAATCACTTAAATTCATAAGAAATTGCAAAGCTGAGAAAGAGCCTTTTTCTAGAGAGTTGCTAGTAACCACAGGAAAGAGGAGCTGCTGGAACGAGTGCAAAGGTCTGTTCTAGAGAATCTGCTTCTTAAGTAGCAGGCTTTGACAAGATTTGAATATGGAAAAGATACTTCACTGAATAATTTAGCTCCTTTAACCACATGGATTGTGGCAGCATGCAAACGTTTCCTAGACCCACAGTTCCTCCAGAAAAGTTAAGAATAGGCTGTGGAGTAGTTTACATATAGCAGCCTCCATTGAGAAACAGAGGGAAAAAACTACTTAAAATTTACTAATAGATCCTTTTTTTGAAATGGACTGAACATACCCCCAAGACTTTGCTGATCCTGAAGGTTTACATGTCTTCTGTAATGACAGAACCATAAATTTTAAGTGTTGGAACAGTCAACTGTTCAGGGCAGCATAACACCTCCCTGAAGATGCATTTTGGCTCATGTACTTTTCCTGGCATGTTAAGTGATCCTGGAGCTGGGAAAGATGCATTACTGAGAGTTTAAATGGCAATAAACCTATCTGTGAACACCGAGGGAAAAAACTGGCTTGTCTTTGCGTATACGAAAGAGTGATGTCTGTCTCCCAACAGCTTCCTCTATGTATTGTTTTTTCAATTTGCAGTATCTTCTTTTTCTGTTAAATAATTTAAATAATTAAAAAAATTATGTATGGAAGCACACATATATTCCCATAGTCATACTGCCAGGGATTTGAGTTAAGAGACAAGAAATAGGTAGTTTAGATTTATACAATAGTTTAGATTTCTATAACTAATTCAGGAATAAGCATTGCAATTCCAACATTCAGGAAGCCTGAATATTTGAGAGGATTGTATATGTGAATAACAGCTACACAAAATATTTTTAGACTTTGTTTCTGTAAATAGCAGCTGTAGTAACCCCTGTCATTTAGTCTTCTGTGGAGCTTATTCCTGCTTTACTGTAATTATTTTATTGCCAGTGAAAGCGATATGAATAACATGATTGGCTTTTAAAACCTAACTTCACTGCAATTGTTTCATACCAGCTACCATTTCAGTCTTTGGATGCTGTTGCTAATGGCAAAAAGAAATTCTGAGATAACCATAACAATCTCCCCAACATGACTACAGTTAAATAACTGTGGTGATTTGGTACTTCAGAACACAGAGCTGCTTTCCCCAAACCATGATTTATTGTTAATATTGACAGTGCCTCATATATGAAATCTTAATACTGAAACTATTGATGTTTCATTTAATGCAGTATTGGCTTTTCATTGTTTCCATGGACCAACACTGACTTCTGATGACTGATTTTAAGAAACTATGTATTTGTGTCCTCCTCCCCAGATCCATAGAAATTATCAAGGTTATTTTGGTGCAGTTCCCTCTATAAATA